TGGACCCACCAGAGGAGCCGCCTTTGCTGCCGTGCTCCCCATGGTGGCCATAGTGACTATCGTGTCCATGTGATCCTTTGTAACCTTTATGATCATCGTGGTAGTGTCCCTTTGCGTGATGACCCTTCTTTCCGTGGTGATCGGCATGGTACCCAGACTTGTGATGTCCTCCCTTATGATGACCTCCTCCCTTCTTTTCGTGGTGGCTCTCGTGACCTCCGTGCTTGCTGTGGTGACCTCCCTCGTGGTGCTCATCGTGAAACTCGTGATTCTTCTTGTATTCGTCCTTCTTGTGCACTTCATGATGTCCCTTTGTGCTATGTCCTTTCTTGTGACCACCACCCTCACCGTACTTTGATCCTTTCTCGCCCTTTTCACCGTGATGGTGCTCACCATAGTAACCTCCTCCTTCATGGTGGCCCTTCTTGTGTCCTCCGTGATCACTGTAATGACCACTGTGTCCTTCTTTGTCATGATGCCCTTTTTCACCCTTTTCATAATCATGATGTCCCTTGTAGCCTTTATCACCTTTACTGCCGTGGCCTGAATGGTGCCCAGAGTGGTGGGAATCCCCGCCTCCACTCTCATGATGACCGCCGCCACCTCCTCCATGTCCACCACCCCCGTGACCACCGCCACCTCCTCCATGTCCACCACCGTGTCCGTGACCACCTCCACCATGCCCTCCACCATGACCTCCGCCATGGTATCCTGATGCCGAAGTCAGGAGATCGGTGGGTGATAGTAACTGTTTTTGGTAACTTGAAGTTCCACTAATCACTGACTTGCTATTTTCCTCGATCAGGTCTTTGGATATTCCAACCACTGTCGGTTGGAGGGCAGCAGTGGACTCCAAGAGCCACACCGCCCACAGTAGATAGCAGGCCCATGCCTGCCACACTCGTCTCATTCCTTAGGACGCTGCTCGACCTCAATGTTCCAGATGCACTGACTGGTTAGCGCCCGTGCTGTATTTATATGTCAGGTCAGAAATAGTATTTCTTGCAGATGATCAATCTGGGGAAAATGCACTTTCATACGCGATTTTACAAGCGTTACAAATGTAGTCTGTTGTTTCCGCCTATTCGGTTAACATCGCACGAGAACCATTCACCAACTTGCTTCAGTTTCCCCTCACACGGCTCAATTACATCATCATACTAATAGTGTAACTTACCAGTAAGCATCTGTTTCACGCTTTCAAATCAAATCCATTTATTGTGTCTAAAATCCCATTCTCCCATCTCTACCTGCCACGGTCCACCGCTCAATATATAACTTATGATCTAAGGTAAGGAGTCCTGAAAATCACATTTCACACCATCGTTTCCTTATTGATCAAGAAATTAATATTATTCTTCAGAATGTTTCTGTCTAAGTATATTGTTAGCCCCACTGATGATGGATACGGTTATTTTTAACTTTCTTAGACTGTGTGTGCGGAGCCCAATCGTTCAACATCGTTGGCAGTCAGACTCCTCATTTAAAGATAAATATCTATGTAACTGGTACGGAGCCATGAAATACCATACGATAAAAAGTGCAAGCCAATATAACCGCAAACTGAATCAAATTAAGGAGCTTGTGGCTGGGACTAATAAAAGGCAGCAACATCAGAAATGTGGCGAAGTTGACAGAAATTTGACCACGATAAATGCCGCAGATATAAGATGAGTTCTGCTGTAAGAGAGTTTAGATCTTACGTGTACGTAAAGTGGAGCTAGTATTTCCTACAGCTATGAAGATCATCTTATCTCACCCAGGTTAATTTAGAGGCAACGTGCCGGCCTCTTCAGGATATTCCTGGTTTAAATCTGTGTTAATTTAGCGGATATCATCATTAAGACTATTCGTATTTTTTCTCAGCCTCTGGAATTTGTGTCAATCACTCTGTATAGATTCTAGAGAAGAAACAGAAAATGTCCGTAACATCTCCGGGTGGGATAAAGAATATTCAATTCAGTTAATCTGAATTTAGTCCACTTATATGTACAAGTTAGTGTGAACAAGGTCACCATTAAACACTAGGTTAATGGAATATTAAGTATATTTACAATTATTAATAATCTTATAGGAAAATAAGAACAATATTTCGATTGAACTTGGTCGTAGATAAGAAAACAATATACAAGGTATCTTAAAGAAATACAATGTGAAATTGTAAACTAGTGATGGATCTTGTAAACACGGTAATGCCCATTCTATTTTATATGAGAAGGGGTGGTTTCTTGACTAGCTGAGGGACTGTTTCTCAAAGACCCTGTTTAATGGACTTACTGAGAGTATATATACGTATATGCACGTAAGTAAAATCTATAGGGATGTTGTGATATGTAACTGTGAAGGACCCTACCGAATACAATGATATTCTTGAAGAACGTAAATCCACATTAATCTCGATAAATATTTTATACCATTAATGGAGAATATTTTATCTATTCTGAGATCACAAGCCTGTATTCTAAAATTCAACTCTTTAGTGCAAAACGGAGATATGTGATTTTGGTTTTGGTTTTTTGTTTGTTTCTTTGTTTGTTTGTATTTCTCCAGGAGGGACGAAGCGTGTTCTATGGAGTACGTTTATTTTTATTACATCAACAAGCATACATAGACAATTTTAAGAGAATTGCGTTGGTTTATGTTTATTTATTTAAGGTGTAAAGGGTAATATTATTATAGAGATATCTCTGTTTTTTTACCAAAATAGAAAAAAGTCTCTTTCTTTAAAATATATTTATCCAAGTACACACACGATGCTTCATCATGTAATTGTGCAATGCGTCTTTTATTGCACGCTTGTCTCGTAAGACATGCAAGTGTAACTTAAAATGAAAAAAAGGTTGACTAAGATTCATAACATCAAAAATTGATCAATGCACTCGAGTGGACCCGGGTTCAAGTCTCGGTCCGGAGATCGACCATCCCGACTGAGATATTTCGGGGATTTCTTCAGTTCCTCCAGGAAAATTCCAATGTAGTGCCTCAAATTAGGTCATGGTCGCTTCCTTTCATATGTTTTCCAATTCATTAATCGTCCGACGCTACAGAGATACCGAATCACACGGATAAAGGAGGCAGTTATGGTCTTCTGAAAAGTCCGTCGGTATCTACCAGATTAAACGCTACGCCATCCCAAAAGACTACAATTTTCAGGTAATAAAATATACGACATCGTAATAACTAACTGTATGAAGACGGGAGTAGAGCCAACTCCTGGAAGACGACCGACAATGGACAGTATCCAACATAGTATTTTTATTAAGGTCTTAAGTTGTCAATTATTACAGCGTAACGAGCATAAAATATTTAATACGCTCATGAGAACTGACAATTTTTCTCGACAAGAAGAAATAAGTGGAACACAAATCAGGATAATTTAATTTCATCAGGCCAGTTCTTACTGAGCTAATCTGCTCATGATGTCAGTCATGAACTTCAGTACCTGAGACATTTACCCACTGAGAGTACAAAATGTGGTGTGATAAAATCTTTTCTTTGTTAGTGGCTGCAACTTTTGTGAATCTGTTCGATATTTATTGAAGTACAGCTGTCTTTAAATGAGTTCAGAACTTCAATTAAAGCCAGTTGATGTCGTCGAAAATTAAACTGAATTCAATCTGATTTCCGTACATTTCAATTGTCATTAACAGAAGTAGAATTATAATTACGATCAGTTCGTCCAGAGCGCACCGACAGACGGACAGGGTTAAATTTAATATAATATGTGGAAAAAATCATATAATTATGGACTGACTAAATATAAATCACTTTAATTTGTATTCCTTTTATTCTAAATTTAGGGACAAAATGTTGAGATGTATTACAGAAATAAGAATTCACAGGTAAGTTAAGGTTAAAAGGTAGCTCGATGTCACACACAACTGTTCATTTTAATGTAAATATGAACTGCGCAGTCGCGATTGGGCGCATATTACGAGGTTAAACTGCCAGGCGCCTTCTAGTCACGACATGCGGTTCTCTTGGGAATACACAAAGACAGCCTAACAATCGATATAATTCACTTTCAATGTAGCAGAGTGAGTGGTTGTCACACTTTCAACACTAAAACGGGATATTTCGGTTGTTTTACACGCCGTCCAACGCTTAGAGCAATGAGTGTGTTGCAGGAATAAATAAAATTATATATAAGGCAAAAGACTTCTCCTTATAAAACATGACTATTGTTTAACTGGCCAAGAAATTTTCGGATTTTAAACAGCCAGAATGTTCACCATCATTCACACAAAATACAGCTATTAGACCCTATAATGTGAAGCTGGCAAATTCAGTCTACAAGCTTGTGTCGTATTAGGTACAGTTTCATTCATGCGTAGGTCTCACAAATGTCTCTTCCTTTTTGTGGTTCCCTGACTAAAAATATATATGGATTTTTAATTAATTCTGTCCTCTCAAGATCTGCTGCTGATCAAATCCTTGGTTACACAATTTAAATAAAGGACCACTCTGAGTTTTACAAAATGTAAATTAGGCCTGTATGTCAGAAGATACGTCTCACGTAGTTTTGTGTAATTTTATAGGAGATATTTTTTCTGATCGCCGTGTATTTTTATCGGATTAGAACAAAAATCCGCAGAATTAATTAAAATGTGTGTTTGAGTGGGCGGGTGGAAACCGAAATTAAAATCCTGTAGACTTTTCATTCCTGCACGACCACTTTCAATAGCAGGCGTTACGTAGCATGAAATAAGCTATGAAGATGAACATATACGATATGATGAGCTGAAAAAGGGATTCGGAAGGAGACGGTTGTGTGGTACGTTTGCCTGAGGAACACGTAACACTTGTAAGCTAGAACGAGCCCACTGTATCATTCTGTTGATCTCTTTTGTTCATGTAATTTTGTTGTGTTATTTACGACATGGCAGTGACTCCATTGTGCAACGGTAGAAAGTGGACAGATCGCGCGTGCTACGTTCGAGGGGTTATGAGGAAGTAAATTATGTCCCCTGTAACAAGTTCGGTGTCATGTGAAGTTATACAGGTAAATACCGATCACTTTCTCTTCTAACATCCGGAATTATTTCTTTATCGCAGTGGGACAGCAGAGAATTTTCAGATCACGTTCTCTGAAAAGGTGTTGTAATGTAACGTCTGATGATGGATGCAGCAAGAACCTCTACTTTTAACAGATATATAGATTAAACCCTTACCCAGTAATATGTGAGACGTGAGTGGATATGAGAGGAGAAAATAAACTTGTTATGAATAAAAGTGTTTTGTTGTGTTACAGAAATGGAACAGTTCAAAGGCGTACTGTGATATTAAGACTGAATTCTATTCGATTATGCGTCTTTTACTGGAATTTTGTGTTAATCTGTTCTTTAAAGAGATATCTGTACATAAATGTACTACACAAAGCAACATGCGTCCGAAGTATATATTAATAATATTAAAAAAATGCAAGAGAATGCGTTTCACGCAGAAATAATACTGTAGCGATACAGTCTAAACTGAAATTTATATACAGTATTTACTGTAGATAACCGATATCACATTACCATAAAATATGCTGAGTAACTTCGGAGGAAAATCACGCGTACGGAAGAACAAAGCGTCAGACCCGGAGACTCCGTTGTGAGAACAAGAAATTGGTGTTTAACAAAGCTTGTTTCTTGTTTACAACAGGCAATTAGATTAAAGTGTCCAGTCAAGTAGAATGTGAAATTATTTGCAGATTCAGGCATTGTTTTGAACGTTCCAACAAAATAATCTTGTTTTTCATAACATCACGTGGCCTGACAACCGCTGGTGTGTAACTCCACTCCGTCTCCATAAGTCGAGATTTTTCGTTCATTGTGCAGGTAAGAAAGTAGAAACAGAAAAATAAATTAAGAACTTTAGAAGAAAATAATAAAAGGAACAAATACAAAACGAAAAAGGAAAAGTAGAAAAACACAAAAGGAAGAAATAACAGAGAACGTTACTATCACATCAATTTATAATTTGATGAATCGTTAAGTATCTGTAAGGAAACCACTGCAGCCCATTTTAATGTTGTATAATATTCAAGCGCTTAATTGGAGTGAAGATAAATATTGCAGCAACTAGGTTCTCCTAAGGCGTCGTCAGACAGCCGTCGTTGCATCGTCATTGGGACATCCGACAATTCTACTACCCACATCAGTTGTACTGATGGATGATACCACATATAAAACAATAATTTAAGTCATTCTGATTTTATACTTATTGGATTTGTATTTTAATTCGCTAACACCTGTGTATATTAGAACTGTATTTTTACAGCCTACAGCAGTATTATTTACAAAAGTATTAATTTACGTAATTATGAATATATTGTACTTTTCTAATTAAAATTAATTGGAAGTTAAATTCACTGTAAAAATAATTATAATACATCAAAAATTTAAGTTAAATAAATAATAATCATTATTAAATAAATCGCACGTGACTGAAATTACGTCATTATTTAATGTGTTGTAGGCGCAAAAGACACTTGTTCATTGGGAATATCATTGTTGTTATTTAGCTAATTGAGATGATATGCAAATATGAGAAAGCTGGTACATTTCTTGTGTTGAATTACCATTTTATTTACTTAGTGTAAAGAAACAAGCTCACTGTAGCTTCCTACTTATGGTGGATGTTTTAAGATAAAATCGAGTCAATGTAACTTCAGCGTGATAACCAAAATCAAATTAGGGTGACAGATGTTTGTGTAGACCTCTAAAGACAAATTTAATCAAAACCCGTTGAGCATTTGGTGTGATAAACCGCAGAAAATTAGTAAGAACAAAGTCAATATATTTCACACCGCACACGAAAATGTCTGCCACCTTGACGGCATTAGTAGGTATCTGAACCAATTAAATGATTAGGTAGTCGTGCAGAAAGAGATGGACGACACAAGCAGAACAAACAAGAGAGAAAAAGTTATTAATATTGTCTGCGTCGTATTTATAAGGGGGAGTTAACGTGAGACACCGTGCATCCTCTTCTTAGTAAATATCATTCTCTCATTCGACTCTATATAGTCTGAGCTAATGAACAGCGTCGTTAAATAAACTATAGATAGATAAGTAATTATACTCAGTACTACCGTCCAAAATAAACATTTCTCTGTTGTGCTCTGTATGAACGGTGTGCGTCAGATTAAATGGAGCTAATGTCATAAAGGAAATGTTATTTGATTGGTGAATGCGTGTTCTGCCGTTCCGTTGCATAAACCACGCCGTGACGAGTGAAAACCCCTACTACAGAGTGCAAACGCCAAGTAAACTGACGCGGACTGTATATTAATGCGTCATGAAACGTCATAAAAGATAAATTTCTATTAGGCGTGGAGAGGGTGATAATACTAATCTAAGACTGATAAGAGCAGTGATAACGCATTGATAGGCTGTGGGCAGATAACAGGGTTTTTTACTCTAGACTGGCGCATGGAGTCGGACGCACTACCCATTTTCTGTGTCCGAGTCCTTGTGATTCTTCTCAAGCGATCATTGCCTCCCCATCTACATCCTGCAGGTACTAACATGACGGGATTTTTGTAACGTCTCTCATTCTGACCAGGCTAATGCCAGGTCAGTTTCTCGAAATAGGCCACGGCCGCCTTTTTCCAAATCATCACCTGATCATCGTTTCTTATCATAAATACTAACAGAATTAAACGCTGTACACACCCTTCAGTTTACACGCAGAGGTTAAATACATTGTAATCACTCATGTATTCAGTTGTGCTTGGGCACATGAGCAATTTTAGCTTTATATTTTACTTCAAGGACTGAACTGGACTGGTGTGGTTCAACATAAATATTAATGACTTTCTGTAAAAACGCGTTTCTTCTAACATACTAAGTAACGAACTAACACATCAACCCACCAAATACATTCCTTCCTGAGAAACTGTTCGCATATTTAACTCATCAACAAATTCCCCGCTTTGAATGGAACCCGAACGTTCATTGGCGTGTTCACAATAGCCTTCCACAATACAATACCCGGAATCAGATGAATCCAATCCACACTACCTATTCTATTTCACTAAGACCCATTTTAATAATATCCCCCATCTACGCCTAAGTCTTCTGAATGTTATAGCTACGCATTTATTATCTTCCCCATTGAGCGCTACATGCAGTACTCATGACATATTTGTCCTGTTCATCCTAATGACACGATTATTTAATCAATCAATAAAATAACTATCAACTAGCCGACTAATGCCCTGTGCAATAGAATAATTAGTCATTATGAAATCAGGTCTAAATTTTATTTGAGAGAAAGGAAACAGCGTATAATGTTTTGCAGATGTAAACATCTGTAAATAGGTAATGCTTGGCAGGTGAACTGTACAACTTGAAAATTTTTTGAACATTACCGGAGTCGTGCTTCACGTTACGGACAGATTCTAATTTTCATGCATTCAGCTGTTTTTACTTTTAAACTTGCATAATGCCAATTTTTGCACGTTACAGTAAAGCGCTGTATTTCTTAGCTCGAAGAGAAAGTCTGCCGAAATAATAGAAAGGATCGGACGTTTTGCACGTTCCCGTCATGAACCAGCAGTGTCATTGTCTCTAAGCCTGACTCCTGATGACCAACTGTTATCATTTCTTAAGCATACTACCACATATTAAAACACTGCATCTTCTCGCTTTGAGACGTGGTTGTTTGCGTCGTTTGATGTCCATCACTGGATTATATTATCATCTGAGTTGCGACACCGTGTAGTCATGTAGGTGATTACTTACTGTCTTTATCTTCAGTGTGTAAGTTACATTATAGTGCCGCAACTCAGAAGAATGCAATCTAAAATTTTACTTCTGCCAAACCTCGAAAGTATTAGCACCTGGTATAGGTAGAGATGTAAAGTTGTGACATAGACTAAATGAATTTTGAGAAACATTTACGACTATTTCAAGTAGACCTTCGGGTGGAAAAATGAGTCTTTGGTGTTAAATGCCTGAATATTTTGACTTCAAGTAGCAGTTAACCGGAAGTTCCGGCATCTTGGAGAGAGTGGTATGAAGATTTCTGCAAGCTCTATATACGATTTACGAGCATATCGTTGGGTACAATATCACCTGGTCTGAAGGTAAGAGAACAAATGTTTGTGGCCAGGAGATATGCAGTGTAAAGTGACAGGTATAATCTCTGGTGCCTGACGAGGGTTCACAATTTGCAGGTCTATCCCTCACTTAAGATTAAAATAAGATGGATGATGCGGTCAGGTCATGCGGACTACATGAACTAAATTAGGTTTAAGTTCCTCGATGTAAGAAATTACATGATAGACCAGGGCATGGATCGAAGGATAATATTAAAAAGAGTTTTTCAGAAATAAGAATAAGATTGGGTTCAACTGCCTCAGGATAGATTTAAATTAAGGATTTTGTGAATAACGTGATGAGTTTTTCACTCACCTTTACGAAACGTTTACACGGGGCCTACATAATTTTGTCACTAACTAAATGTTAGTTAGCAGAAAGAAAGTAGTAAATATGGACAAATTTAAATTAAAAATAAGTAGGCTACAATAACAAATAATTACTGTATTCGTACATCTTTGTTACTTACATACTACATCTTTGTCAAAAGTTTTAATTAAATTCGTGTAACTGTATTCAAACTTGTGTGATAGGTAAAAACATTTTAATATTTTTTTAAGGATATTCTGGATGCGAAGCCACATAGCAGGGTCCTACATAATCGCAATATGTTCCAGTTTCAACAACATCTACTTTGAAGATGGTGGCCATAGTTTCTTCCGAAACGTTGGTAACCATCAACACGACTACACAGTGTTGCAACCAAGAAGAATACAGTACAAATTTTCTTCGCCGTAAAAACGACAAACCTCACATGATTACAATGTTCGAACACCATAAGCCCTGTAGTAAAAGTTATTTTCTCTTGAAACTCTCACTAATACAACATCTATTTTGTAACTGTCATGATGACAAATTTCGTTCTGTAACAGGTATCTTGTCCCGTTATCTTCCAAGGAACTAAAGTTGAACTTACTATCGATTATCGATTTCTGATTCTTTTAACTTGTGTGATAACCAAGAAAGATTTAATACTTGTACGATTTAATTAGCACTTTTCTAATGACCTCAAAATTGTATTATTGAATCGCAGTATATATGCCTGCTTAACTATTATGAAAAATAAAGAAATGTATGCATTACGCACATAAATGTTTATAGGCCTGTCAATTTTGTTCAAGTTCAGAATATTCTGTATTATTTGACAATAGAAATCATTAGTTGATTATAAAACAAATTTCTGAGTAATAACCACAATTAACACATTATTAATATGTTCATAAAATATCAGAGAGTTTGAAACGTCTTCCGAGGCTACTCTTGCTATGATATAGTGCAAGGGCAAATATTAAATAATTTTGTTCAGACCAGTAAAAGAACAGAATGAGTGGTCAACGAATACAGGACAGATAAGAAGATATGGATCCTACTTTTGTAATGGACTCTTCTCATAACCACTGCACAAGAAATACATAGTAGTAGCAAACGAAACCTGACTTTCGTACAAAAGGATTCGGTTAACCATAGGCAAACAAACCGATATATCCTCACTCCACTACGGCGAAACGTCGGTCTCGACTTGTATAAGAATAATCACTTCGGTACGAATGCAATTTCCTTGAATGTCTCCGTATAATAT